ACTGAAATTCCTTTGGATTTTAGTGGTGAGAAGGCCAATACAAGGTGGTCCCGAAGCTCACAAAAAAGACACAAAAATGAGGCCAAACAAGGCCTAAGAGGGGGGAAACAACTCCAAACACAAAAGTGATCTTAAAAAAACTTCAAAAGCATGCAAAAAAAGAACTTTTATCAGTTATACACTAAGCTCAAAACAACATGCAAGATAGGCTAAAAGCTTGTGCAAAAATGGAGAATAAACAGGAAAAAGAGATTACCCTTGAAGCTCAACAAGACCAGCAGCTTCTTGGACCAAAAACCAGCTCTTTGAAACCTCTCAAGACCCTCCAGGAACCTTAGATCAATGGTGGAGGTGTATGGCTATGAGGTGTGGTGCTAAAGGCCAAGAACAAACACTTTCTAAGCCTAAATTATAGAGACAAAGAGAGATATATGCTTCTTGCCTTAAACAAATTTTTGGAACCTCTCTAAAGGAGAGGGAGGCCCTCTCTTATAGAGAAACAAGAGGGTTCAAGCTTCTTGGAGAAGCTAAAGAGTTTCAAGCTTCTTGGAGAAGCTAAAGAGGTTCAAGCTTCTTGGAGAAGCTAAAGAGGTTCAAGCTTCCTCAAGAAGCTAAAAAGGTTCAAGCTTCTTCAAGAAGCTAAAAAGGTTCAAACGGTTCAAGCTTCCTCAAGAAGCTAAAACAAAGGTTCAAAAGGTTCAAGCTTCCTCAAGAAGCTAAAACAAAGGGTGCAAATCCTCCATACACGTGTATGGAGGGCAGGGTCTGTGCCACTTGGCACAAAATATCTGCATAAAGCAGATGAACAGGGTTCGGCCAGCAGAAAAGGCCGATCGACCAACACAAAGGGCCGGCCAACTAAATACATTGTCATCACTTTTGGCCGGTAGCAATAAAACTGGGTCGGTGGCCTCAGGCCATGGCCGGTGATGTGTGGGGATAGCCAACAAGCCATTTCCCATCCTCAGGTGCAAAGACCACAAGTCCTTGGTCCAACCAAGCACAAAACAAATAAGTCGAGAGATCTTGAGGCAAGGCGCGCGACCGAGACCTCCGAGAACTCAAGACGAACACGAACATGGATGATCATTGAGTGTTCAAACGATGATGTCCAAGTCACGAGGACGGTCAAAAATGGGGTGTCTACACAAAGCAAATGAAAATTTTAAACACTGAACTGAGACAGAGAGTAGAGAATGTAAGACAGGATGTAATCAAGCTTAATTTAAGAGGAAAAAAATCAAATGCTGATGAAACAAAAAAAAAATTGGAAAAAAATTCAACTCAACAACAAATATGTTTCCACAACAAACCCTAGATCATCAAAAAAATTGGAAAAAAAAAAGAATAAAGACGAAAAGAACGAAACGGACATCGTCATTATCGCTTCCCCCTCTCTATCTGTCTCCTGCCGCTTCCCATCGTCCTACCGCTGCCTCTCTTCTCCTCACTCCGTCACCTTGCTCTTGTGCCACTTCCCCTTGCCTCACTGCTGCCTCGCTGTAGGAGTCACGTTGCCCGGCTACGTCGGCCTCTCCGTTCGTCGCCCGGCTACGTCGGCCTCTCCGTTCGTCGCCTCTCCATTCGTTACCTAGGTTCATCTCACTGAGAGGGGACTAGGGTTCAAACACCAGACAAAAAAAAACAAAAAGGCTAAAAAGAAAAATACAAGAAAAGAGGGAGGAAAAAAAAAAGGTTCAAAACGACGTCGTTTTGAAGCACTGCAGGGGCCACAACAAAAAACAATGACAGAGGATCCGAACTCATATCCAATGGTTGTGAGTGATTTGGGATAGGGGGACAGAGGTATTTGGGAACAGGGGATCCTTGGGCATTAAGGGTTAACCATGTTTAAAAAATGAAAATGGTTCTCTCCTGTTCACATGTTGTTAGGTCAGTAGAGTCCATTACGGGTTCTATTTTGATGATTCGAATCGTTCAATGTTTAGAACTCATCGAGTATTTCATTCCTACAAAAAACCACGTTGATCAGATATCAATAATCCCTTGATCATAACACATATTTGTTAATAATTTATTTTTAAAACTATATTTATCAATGACAAAAATTTAAGTTGATTAAAGCGTTATCAATATCCAATCAACATGATTTTTGGTAGAGATAAAATAATCGACAAGTTCTATACTTTAAATAATTCGAATTATCAAAATGAAAACTATGATAAACCTCACAAGTCTAACAACACAACCCAATGTCCAGTATAGAGGAAAACCTTTCCCTTTAAACATATATGTATATATATATATTTTTTTTTTATTTCTCTCACTAAAAAAATATTTTTCGCTCTTCATGATAAGAGTGTAAAATTGGCCCGCTGCCCATGGGCGGCCGAAAGCCCGACCGTAGCCCGCGGTCGGGCTTGGCCCGACTTGTGACAATGTGAATATTCACATTGACATATTAACATTCACATTGATAGGAGTGTAAAATTGGCCCGCGGCCCGAAGACGACAACCTCGGGTCGGGTCGGGCTGGTGGGCCTAGGCCTAGGCTCGGGCTTAGGCGGGCCTGACCTTTTTTTTTTTAGTTTTTTCTATCAAAATTTTATTATTTTCCATTAAAAAAGATACTAGACTTCGGGCGGGCTGGGCTTAGGCTGGGCCTTAAGGGGCCTTAAGCGTGCAGATGGGCTAGGTCACGGACCGAGCTGGACTTTAAAATGATGGCCTAGGCCCAAAAACTCGGATCGGGCCCAGGCCCAAACTAGCCTAGAAGGATCGGGCTCACCCCAAATCACGCGAGTAATTTTTACACTTTAATCCTGCATCCAAATGTCATAATCCCCAAACGAAAAGTCAAAATCATCCAAAAACATTACCACATGATATATACCAGAAACATTTAATATAAATATTTTTATATATTAAAATCACGCTTATTAGCAATATAATTTACACTTTTTTGAGTACACATCATTACAAAAAATATAGTGAAAATTATTTGAGTAATATAATTTTTTAATAACAAAGTCCATCATTTAGATTATGTTTGGCATAAAATTTTTGGGTTAAAATAGTCATAAAAAGATAAAATAAATTAAAAAATTAATAAGATAAAATATCAAATTTAAATCATAATTATTTTATTTTTTCTCTTACAAAAGTCAAAAAAGTCAAAAAACTTATTTCAAATAAGACTTTTGAAAAATGATTGGTGCCTCAACAAAGTGAGGCGCGAATGCCTCAACGCATGTGATTCACGCTCTATGCTTAGCCCTCTTTTCTACTTTACTGTATTCAACACCACAAAATAGAACAAACCCATTAACAAAGGCTCAAACCCAAAAATGAAGCTTCCATCTCTCTCTCTATTGAAACCCATAAACTGATTTGGTCTACCAAGCAGAGTGAATTCAGCCAACCCATCGGCAAGCGGTAGAGGGCTTCCGGCATTTTTCGGCGACGTTGCTTTGTTTACCCAAGCCCCAGATCCCCAAATCTCCTCCATTGACAACCAAGAAAAGGTCAGATTTTTGGAATTTTTTTTTATTAATCCTTTTTCGGTGACATTGCTATGTGATTTTTTAAAAAAATGTTGCATTTTTAAATCCTCCCATTATTTTTTGTTTTTCTTGCTTTGTTTCATTATGAATTTTCCATGCCCATTATTTGTTGTTTTTATTGCTCTGTTTTGTTTCATTGTGAATTTTTCCTGGATTGTTGAAACCTTCTTCCAAGCTTAACATTATTGGTTTGTTGTTCTGGACTTGTCAACAGTGGAGTTCTTGGTACATGAAATGAACCTATGTCTTCAAAAAAATGTTATGAAAATAGACTTGTTAGTAGTTTAAACATGCTGAAATGTGTTGTGATTTTGAAAGAAAAATTAACCTATTGAAATGATGAATTGAAGGCATGTGTGAGAATTGAAAGTGTATGATAAAATGTCTTAATGAAATGCTTTGTGCTTCCATGGGCCATTTTACATTATTACTGTTGTTTTTGTTTTTGCTGACTAATGTACTAATTATTTATGAAAATGCTACTGTTAGAAGTAACATGTCAATGGCTTACACCTCGACTAGTTCAAGCAACGATGGTCGCCTTTTCGAAAATTGATGTTACAAATGTGACAAAAAAGTGGCCGTTAAGATATCAGACTCACTGAAAAATCCAGGGAGGCTTTACTTCAAGTGTGCAGATGGCAAGTGCGATTACTTTGCATGGTGGGCGCCTACTAGCCAACATGGCAATGCATCAAATATCCAATGGAGGCCTAATCCTAGTCATAGGAACAATGAAGATGAGTGGAGGAATGATTCTGAAAGAAACTAAGAAGCTTTGGACAAATTAGAGCAAAGATTGGAGCGGCTTGAGGCAAATGTAGAAACTATGAAATTCCTTACAATGGCAAGCATAGTGTGTACTGGTTTTAACACGCTAATGCTTGTAATTTATTTAATGTTAAAATGAATGTTGTAAACTTATACATTTGGTTTTGAGAGTTTTAGAGAGTTCTTGGTTTGGGTGTATATGTTATTATGCTGGTTTTGTGTTCTTGAACCATCTATGGCAAAGCAACAGTGAAGTTTTTGTTTGGATGTGAATGATATTGTGCTAGTTTTGTATTCAACAGTGGAGTTTTGTTGTTGGGTTCTTCAACCATCTATGATTTACTATTTTTGTTGTGAGTTCTGATGTGAATAAAAAAGGTTATGAAGAAAATGGATTTTGCAGTTGATTTATCAAGAAATACTTGTGCCCAAACTAAAAGTCTAACAACACAGATGTCTAACAAAAATATATTAAACTGTTGTTGAACATCTGTTCAAACATCTATTCAACACTTGTTCAACATCCATATCTATAACAAAAATAGATTATATCTGTTCAAGACAATAGATATCTGTTTAACACTTGTTTAACATCCATATCTATAACAAAAATAGATAAAACTGTTCAACATCCAGAATCTATATATGTTCAAACATCCAACCAATACCTATTCAACATCCATATCTATAACAAAAATAGGGAACCTAAACAACACAGCAGTACAGCAGCAACTCAGCAACACAACACTGCAGCACATCAGCAGCACGGAACACAACAGCACAGCAATACAACTGCAAAGCCTATAGCAGCACAGCAGAACAACGAGCAGCATAGTAGATCATGATCAAAGTATAGCAGTGCAACAGATGCTCAGCAGAGTAGAAGAGCAACAACCAGCACTGTCTATGAGCATCAACAGAATCGAAAGAACATAACTTACAAGAAGCTATGTTTAGACCTGTAACAGAACTTGACAAAACAAGTGATGAGACTTGATTGGATCCAAAATCACTTTACACCATTACATTATAAGTGATGAGGCTTGATTGGATCCTAAACAAACCAAAGTATCGAAAGTTTACAAAACAAAGTCTTACAATTACTACTAAAAAACTAGAAATAGAAAAGGGCATTTGGATCCACATCTATATTCAACTCAACAAATTTTGAAGCAATTGGTCCACTTTGACTGCTTATATTGGTAACCATTCCTGAATGACTAAGAGATCTGCTTCCAATATTATCCACCATTTGCATTGGACTACCTCGTGCTTATTCAATGACGAAGTAAATAATATGAACAAATTTTGTGACAAGCATATCTGCAAATGAAAATAAGCAAAAAAATTTCATGTCATATCTTTAAAACATACCGGTACATACGTACTCTCCTATGTACTATCAATACACGGACTCGCTTACATTCCATCCATAAAAGCAAAATTCAACTTACGACCCTGTAGGAACACACATTCATGAGTGATTGAAGTTAACAAAATTCTGAGATTTACATATCAAACAAAATAAAAAATTTACCTGTAGTTTTGATGCCTTTTTATTCTTTCCCTTCAACCGATTTACTATATCATCCACTTTGCTAACCTTCCGTTTGGTACATGGACGGCCTCTTCGGCGAGCAACCATAGGACTAAGCACCTTACGAGTCATGCTTGCATTTGTAGAACTGCGACTGGCTTGAGTTTTGGGAGAAGTATTAGAAGGTTGAATAGTATTAGTAGAAGGTGGCACATTACTTGCACAACCCGCCTCAGTCTGTCTCACTCTATCCTTGATTTCTATCAACCCAAGTTAAATGACTTTGTGCTTAGCATCATTGTTGGAAGTAATTTCTATAATTTCATCCATTGTCTTGTGGTAGTTATCATGCACCTTTGCATTCAAAACAGCCCCATATGTAGTGTATATGGTAGGAATGCATGTGTACCCTCTTTCCAAATCTTTTCTCCATCTCGGCACAATGTGTTTATCTGGAACCTCATATGTGGACCTTTCAAGGAGCACACTAAGTGAATGGGCACACATAATGCCCCTAAACTCAAACCACCGACACATACATTGGATGTCACATTCAATGGAATTACAGTACACAGCAAATTCCAATTTCTTCATTTGCTCACCAACTGGAATAGCCTCTTTCACATGATAAGTACAAATTGATCCTTTCTCTTCCACAAGAGTCACACGACAATACAATAATCGTTTCATTTCTGCTTAAACCTCTTTAAATTTTGCGTTTGTGTAGGTTGCACGAAATTTCTTCTCAAAAGCATACATCGTTAGGCAATCATTCAATTTGTTTCAAGATTTAAAATCTGTTTTGGCCTCTTTCTCCACCTTACTTCTCTAGGCATTGTCATACTGCTCAACAAATTGCTTTAAAGTAGTCTTCAAGTTGACATATCCATCAAAAAATGCATTCATACTTTCACTTCGTTGTGTGGTTCACATACCAACCAAAAAAATGTCTTTCACACAGGCAGGAATCCACCTATGTCGCTCATCATATAATACCCCCAACCAATCGTTATCATGTAGACTGAACTTTGCAATCATTGCTTGCCATTCTTCATCAAATTCATTTTTTGTGAAAGACTCATAAACTGTCTTTTGCAAAGCAAGCTTTATGGATTCATATTGCGAATAGGCTCTTAATTTTTCGAGAATTTTCTTCATTATATGCCATAAACACCAACGATGTCGAGCCTGTGGGAAAACAATTTGTATGGCATTTTGCATAGCTTTGCCTTGGTCAGTTATTATATTATTCAGAGGAGTGTTTGACGTGCAACTTAACCAAGCTCTGAATATCCATACAAATGTCTCAGTGTTCTCATTACATAACAGCCCACAACCAAACAAAATTGACTGCCCATGGTGATTAACTCCTACAAACGGAGCAAACGGCATGTCATATTTGTTTGTCAGATAGGTTGTATCAAATGTGACAACATCCCTAAATGCTTTATAAGCTGCCCTACTCCTTGCATCTGCCCAAAATAAGTTCCGCAAGCGTCCTTCTCCATCAAAGTCCATTTCAGAGTAGAAGTTCGAATTTTGTTGTTGCATTCTATGAAAATAAAACGCAACGGATTCGGCATCTCCTACTCCAAGCCTCAATCTTCTAGCCTTCTCAATATGATTCCTTGCATCTCGTTTGTCAAATGTTAATGCCTCAAATCCCCCCACTTCAACAACCATAGAATGAAAATTCCTAGCTACTCCTATCACTGTCTCATCGTTTATTTTTAATCTTTTTTTCACAGGAGTTAGAATTCTCTTATTCATTGCAAAATGGTGTGAGTCACTAAGAACCAAGTCGTGAGTATGCTCTAGCACAACGATTGTCAACTTAAATGTTCCATCCTTTTGTAGACTCCTTCTTACTTTTGCTTTACAATCATTTTTAGATGACAAAGATGGTTCTAGCGGGTTCACTTCCGATCTTTTTCTTCTCCTCCTCGCCTGAGTACATTCAATTCAAAGTATTTTAGTTCCCCATCATTACCAAAAATTTGTGTTCCACAAGCCATAGCAAATCCAAAGTGCTTCGCAGATTTTGCATAAAATGCATACACTTCTTACTTTGAAGTAAAACACATCCCCTGCTTTGGTTCTTCAACTTCCTAACTAGGATTGTTTGAACCTTCCATCCTTTTGTTGCTAAAATGAAGCTTCTAGGTTGACAATTCAAAACATTTGAAACAGGAACTGATCAAAAACATGTGAAACAAAATTTTGATGGGACACTATCGAGAATTTTGTGAAACATGTGACAATCAAGATAAAGGACAATATCGAGAAAAAGCAAGCTGGGAGCTATCGAGAAAAAAGCAAGCTGGGAGCAATATATTTTATGACATTAAAAAATTATCACATACAAAATTCAGGTTATAGGCATATCACATTCCACCAAAAAACAAGAAGAAAATGGATAATAGCTTCATTTTCTACAAGAAGAAAATAAGTTAGCTGGGAGCTATCTACAAAAACAGTTCAAACAACTTCATTTTCTACAAAATGGATAACAGATTTTGTTATTTGAACAAGTCTATTTTCATAACATTTTTTTGAAGACCTAGGTTCATTTCATGTACCAAGAACTCCATTGTTGACAAGCCCAGAACAACAAACCAATAATGTTAAGCTTGGAAGAAGGTTTCAACAATCCATGGAAAATTCACAATGAAACAAAATAGAGCAAGAAAAACAACAAATAATGGGCATGGAAAATTCATAATGAAACAGAGCAAGAAAAACGAAAAACACATATGTAAAGAAAATAATGGATAACAGATTCTGTTCAAAAAACAAAATTCATAATGGATACATATGTAAACAAAAAATAAAATTCATAATGGATAACAGATTTTGTTCAATGAATGTTCAATCTCTTTCTATGTGGACTTTCAACAAACACATACAATGCATCAATACAAAACCACCAAAATCAAGTTATGGACTAAGAAGATTACAACCAATGGAAAGAAAATATGAGCAAAATCATAGACCAACCAGATTTCAACCAATGTAAAGCAAATGTCAATGTTTGAAGCAATACCAGTGACCCACGAATCAGTTCGTTGTTGGTGGGTGGAGCCGAAATTTTCAGTGAAATCGGAGGAATTGGAGAGTGGTAAACGGTGGTCAATGGTCACCAGTGGTCTTCTAGGTCGTCGTCATTGTCGCCACCTAAGTCGTGGTCTTTCTATCTCCCGAGAAGCAGAGCTGCTAGGTCGTTATATTGTTTGTTTCTATGTCGTAATATTGTTTTGTAGGAGCATGAAATCCACACAGGTATTGTTGTGCATGATGAATGGACAGACGACTTCATTCGCGCCATTCGCGCCAATGTTATTCGAGGTCTGTAGCAGCTTTGAAGACTTTTTAACCCAAAACTAAAATAGTTAAAAAAATCAAAATATCAACCTCCATCCAAAACGAAAGTTTAATATGTAGGATCAAAATAAAATTTTTCCACTACCTATGGTCAAAATTATTTTTTCTAACAAAACACTTAAAAAATAAAACTAACTACCTTGTTTAGTTTTAATTTTTTGAGTTCAATTTTTTAAAGAGTGAGTTTTTTGTTTTTTTGTTTTACATATTTTTTTTTTGGTTTTTAGTAAACATTTTCAATATTTTAAGCTTCCGTTTGGGAAGTTGGTTTGTAGGCTATTTTGGCTAACAATTCCGATTGGTAGCTCGAAAGTTTGATGGCTCGAATGGCTCGACACCAAAACGACATCATTTTGGTGTCTTTTTTTTTCGTGTTTTTCTGAACTGAAGAAGAAGAAGAAAGCTGAAGAAGAAGAAGAAGAAGAGAAGAAGAAGGAGCTGAGTTTTGCCATCAACACAAAGAGATAAAATCCAACAAATGCAGAGAAAACAGAGAAAAAAAATGCAGTTCGAGCCATCATCTTCAACATCTTCATTTTCATCATCTTCAACATCTTCAGCATCATCATCATCATCTTCATCATCTTCATCAACAAAAAAAAAAAAATTCCTTTGCAGATCCGGATCAACATTATCATCATCAATAATTTTTTTTTTTTGCAAATCCAGATCTACTTAGAAAAATGCAGATTTTTTTTTTTCAAATCCAGATCGACGATCGCTGCCACCATCACCGATCATCACCGTCGATCGCCTCTTCTCTTCTCTCCTCTCTCTCTCTCTCTCTCTCTCTCTGCTTCCTTTTCTCTTCCCTCTCTGTCTGTTCGAAAGAATGAAAAGGAAAGAATCAAAATGAAAGAAAGAAAAAAAAAAAAACACGGCCCAAAACGACGTCATTTTGGGCAGTTCGGGCCATTCGAGCTGCATGAAATTCGAGCTACGAGTCATTTTTCTTTGGCTAAAATAGCCACAAAAAACAAAAAAAAAAAAAATTGACTTTATAAGACAAACATCACATCCAACCTATAATCATTACATTCTTTCTCTCACAAAAAAGTCAAAAAAGCAAAAAGCCCTTTTCAAACCAGGGTTTTTAACCCTAGGCTAAAATAACCAAAAAGGCCAAAAAGTCAACCTACTTCCCAAACGGATGAGCAAATTTTTTACTTTTTAGATAACTTAGATGTATCTTTATAAAAAAAAATATATTTTTAAAAAATCAATAAATACACAAGAATATGAAAATGTATTGAATTTTCATATTTTTTTTATATTTTTGATATTTAATGAATTTTTAAAAAAAATCAAAAATATTATACTTTTTAAATTGTATTTATATTAAGTGTATATAAAAAGTAAAAAAATTGCTTAAAATATCAAAAAAAATCACTAAAAAAATACTAAAAACAATAAATTCAATTTTCAGAAAATTGAAACTAAACAAAGTGAATAATTTGTACGAAAGTGAAATTAGAAAATAAAAAATTTACAATTTTGTTATGCATAGTCTCATACCCTTGTTTCCATTATGCAAATCAAATAAATCGCAACTGCCAATAAAATTTATTATTAAAGATATTGAACTAAAATAGGTTCGTACTTCATATATTTTTTTAAATATTTTTGATATTTAATGAATTTTTTTAAAAAAATCACAAATATTATACTTTTTAAATTGTATTTATATTAAGTGTATATAAAAAGTAAAAAAAATTGCTTAAAATATCAAAAAAAAAATCACTAAAAAAATTCTAAAAACAATAAATTCAATTTTCAGAAAATTGAAACTAAACAAAGTGAATAATTTGTACGAAAGTGAAATTAGAAAATAAAAAATTTACAATTTTGTTATGCATAGTCTCATACCCTTGTTTCCATTATGCAAATCAAATAAATCGCAACTGCCAATAAAATTTATTATTAAAGATATTGAACTAAAATAGGTTCGTACTTCATACTTAATAGTATTACAGATTCAACAAATATTTCTGCAAAGAAACTAACTAATACATAATAAATCTAAACCACATTATTGAGTTAATAATCTAGTTATTATTAACTAATGCATAATTTAGTCTAATCTGGATAATCTTACACAATTCATAACACCTAGGCTGAACCACATTGAAGAGACACTCATTTCTTCTTTTTTTTTTTATTCAAAAGAAGGATTACAGAAGGAAAAAAGAAACAGCAAACAACAAACCAAAAGGAGGGCTAAACAAGCTTAAGCCCTTTCACAAGAGAGGCCAACTATGTCTGCAACAAGCAGACTAACAAGATCATTGGGTGGGTCTTCTAGAACTACCAGATTTTCTCCATGATGCACTCCCATATTCGCAAGACCATCAGACACTCTTTTCTAAGCTTTCAGAAAGACCAAAATACAACTAAAGGAATAGGTTCACTTTTCATTCTATATAGTACAATATGACAGATCCAACAAATATTCATGCAACGACAAACATTCATGCAAAGAAATTAGCTAATACATAACCAACCTATATTATTGAGTTACTAAGTGGCAATGTGGCTTCAATTTTTATGAGGGTGGAGGCAAATTGGGAGGCCACCTTCAGGAAATGGTACTGGTTTGAATATTATTTTATCATTTGGGATTAACTTGCTCCATTTGAACCTTGTCACCAGATTATGCACAAAAACAAGTATAACCAATCGGGCATACTCTTTTCCAGGGCACATCCGAGGTCCTCCTCCAAACGGTACAAAAGTAAATGGTAACGGTCCATCTCCTGCAAACCTTGTTGGATCAAATTTCTCTGGATTTGGGAAGAATGCAGGATTTTTGTGAGTTGAGTGCACACTCCAACATGTCTGCAACAAAAAGAAAATGCAAATAATTCAACGAAATTATTAGAAGGCACATGTTCCGATTATTTGGCTCACAAAACCGTTAATTAAAAGACAAATGTTGACAAATGTCTCAGTGCATAGATTAATATCATAATTGGGATGAAGAAAAGTGTAGAAAGATTTAAAAAATTTCTAGAATTGATGAGAAGTGTTTTGAAATTTATAAAAAAATCTAGTGTTATTTCCTTCTTCTTTTTTTTTGACCAACTTGTGTGCACCATGCAAATACCAGCTTGCGTGCACCAAACTAAGGACCTACAACCTCTTCCACAATCCTTTCACTAAGCCTGCACATGAGAGGAGGTGGCCCCAAGAGTTGCTAGCGAGGGGAATCGAACTTGTGAAGGGCAAGCTCTTTACAAACGGCCAATCTCCCACCCAACCAATCTCTTGGGTTCAAGGTTGTTAAAATCGGGATCCTACGTTGGATCGTTGGAAGTGTTTATAGGATCGGATCGTAGAATCGGATCGAGGATCGTAAGATCCTACCGAAAAAGACAAATTATATAATAATTTAATTTAAATAAACATGTCCTAATTAATAAGAAGTGAAGATATTGTGAAAAATATAATACTCCATGCAAAATGTACATGTGGGAACATAATTTTTGAATGACAACATGTGGCCGAGGTGTCACCGAAGTGCCAACCGAGGAGCCACGTGTGCTGGTCATGACGCCAAGATCATCTCGGCTAGGCTGAGGTTATCTGTGAAGATACCGGAATCCGAGATAAGCGGATAAGGGACAAGAGTCCTAGAATGATTTTTTTGACCAACTTGTGTGCACCATGCAAATATCACATTAGCTTGCGTGCACCAAACTAAGGACCTACAATGTCTTCTACAATCTTTTCACTGAGCTTGCACATGAGAGGAGGTGGCCCCAAGAGTTGCTAGCGAGGGGAATCGAACTTGTGAAGGGCAAGCTCTTTACAAACGGCCAATCTCCCACCCAACCAATCTCTTGGGTTCAAGGTTGTTAAAATCGGGATCCTACGTTGGATCGTTGGAAGTGTTTATAGGATCGGATCGTAGAATCGGATCGAGGATCGTAAGATCCTACCGAAAAAGACAAATTATATAATAATTTAATTTAAATAAATATTTCTTATAAAGTACACACAAAATGAACCTATATTTTATCAAAAAGAAGTGAAGATATTGTGAAAAATATAATACTCCATGTAAAATGTACATATAATATTATGCAATAGAAAACTCGATGGTAAAAGTTCTGTATTTTATCAAAAAAGAAGGTGAAGAAGAAGAAGAAGAATTCTATAACAAAATACTTTACAATGTACAATAATGCAAAAAAAGTGAAGAAAAAATATTTAACAAAAATGGATATGAAAATAGATTAAGAACTCAAAAGAGTAGCTTAGTCGAATGATAAGGTTTGTCGTTAGCATCCCCAGTAGAGCGGATTCGAGTCACAAAAATAATTTCTCCAGAAATTGGGAAAAAGTTGCAATCATCTTACCCTTCTTAGACTCCGCTAAAGCTAAGTTTGTTTTTCCGACTATTTAATTTTCTTAAATTACCGCAATATTTGAATGTTTGCTTCCTAATTTGTTTTTCTTAGTCTATTTGATTCAATACTACTTAATTTTTATTATTTATTTTGACAACATAAATTGATATTTAGACAACAAATATAAAATTTACAACAAAATATGTCATACAATACAAAACAAGGCTTGTAAATTGGATCGGATAGGATCGGATTCGGATCGGGATTCCACGATCCTATAAGATCCCACTACCAGGGTCGAAAGATCCTACTTATAAGGAGTTTTTTATACGATCCGGATCGATTGCCCTCAAATGGATCGTAAAATCGTAGGATCGTAAGATCCGGATCGAGATTCTGATAACCATGCTTGGGATTCCTTTTTTGTTTTATTCTAATACCCAAAACAGTTGTTCGCCAAACTTTTAATAAAACGGAACAATTTCTCTCCAATTCTGATCCAGACTTGAGCACAAGTCATCATTTATTTATAAATCAAAGGCCCAGATTTATTCACACATTCACAAAATCCATTGGCTGTAAAATATTAAGGAAGAAGATTCCCTCCTCCAAATATTAAATGGGTAAGATTTTTTTATCATATTCAAATTTGAATTTTATATGTATGCTAGAGAATAAATTCTCCAATTCAAAATCCAAACTAAATCTTAGTAAAAACACATATACCTTCCATCCTTTTGGAATAGTAAAACCCGCAAAAGTGAAGTCGGTTAAAGCCTCCTTGAAAGCTAGTGGAGCAGGTGGTGCTAGCCTCATTGCTTCACATGCTACATGCCAAGTGTACCTCATTTGTTGGATGTCCCTCCAATTTAGCGATTGTCCTGGTTCTTTTGATTTTGCTATCTCCATTTGTTCTGGAAATATATCAAAATATTTTTAAGAGTCTATTTTCATGAAACAGGGCAACATTTATTACTATTACTAAGAATAGTAGTAGTATTAATATATTACCTTTGAAGACTTCATCGTAGAAATGGGGATGCTCAGCAAGATACTTGAGGATGAAAGTAATGGTAGTCGACGCAGTATCATAGCCGGCAATGAGTTGGCCTATGATCTTGTCAGCAATTTCCACATCATTCATGAGCTTGCCATCCTCATCTGGTGTGACGAGCAAGTGTGACAGCAGGTCTCGAATGATGATCGAGTCTTTGTTTTTTTGTTGTACAGCCATTTTCCTCTCTTTTATCAGCGTCAATAGCTCCTTGCGGATCAGATTCGCGTCCTTAATGGCTCTGTTAAAACTTGTGCCTGGAAAATCTAAAAACATCTATTAAAATTTAAATAATGAAATTAAATAAAATATAAACAAAATTTTAAAATAAAACATCAATCAAATATCTATAAAAAATTGTTTTAAAAAAAATAAATAAAACATCAATGAAAAGTTAAATAAAATTATTTTATTTTTAAATTGGGACATTTTTATTGAATTTTACTAAATATAATACATAATTAAATAGTAGAGAGTCAAGATGATCATTTAACCATCTAATCCCAACAGTAAATAGTCCCATGGAAATAATCCCAACCCCCTCCCCCTCCTAGGATATAATAGTCCCTCACATGAGGGATATGGAGTCCGACCGGACTCAATGTTCGGTGGACTAAAAAAAAAACAAACGCCGATTAGATGCTTCCAATGAATCACAATCCACACCGTAAATAGTCTCCCTTATCTCCCAATCAAACACACCCAATGTGAAAGGTGTGTCTTTTGATGTTTCAATGTGCAGCACATTAGATTTGAAATTAATAATAAAATTTAAAAAATGTAAGACTTTGTAGTAAGTCTTTTCAAAAATTTGTAATATGGTGGTGGGAATGGGTCTCTCGACCCCGACATGTGGGTTGGTTGATGGAAATTGTATGTCCCCATTTTTTACTTATTCACACAGACTTTAGAAAGTAAAAAATGCAGACAAAGAGTGTTCATACACTATTGTAAGACCTATTTCAAAATCAGTAGGAAAAGAAAGAAAGAGAATAACTGTTGGACTTTTACTTAAATGATCATTTCCTATTTGCTAAGATTAATTTCATATTTAAAAACAGATAAAGAGTGTTCATTTCTTTTTTTTTCAATTATCTTGTAAAAAATATAATAATGACATTTTGCAACAAAAAAATTAGTCCTGAAAATATATTTTTTCTTCTAATTTTTTTCTCTCAAACATTAATTTGTTGTAATTATGGATGAATTGTTCAAATTTTGAAATCACCTTTTCCACCATCAAATTAGGTTTTAACATTTACTGATTTATATAATCATCTTCAATTGGACTACAAGAACTGAAATAAAAAAAAATTAAGAACTAGATAGATGAAATTAATAGTTTAAAAATGAATAGAAAAAAGTGATGTAGTTTAGGTCAGTCTGATGTAGTTCAAGCTACAACACCACTGTGATTTGAAGGTTAGCCTACTCTCTTTGTTTCTCTTTCTCTACCCCTCTCTTGCTTCTGGTCTCTCAGTTTCTCTCTCTACCTCTCTCTTATGTAATTTCTATAACAATTAAAGTTATTCACTAATAGCCCAAAATAGATATTTCTATACAAGAAATAAATTACAACCAACAGATAGAAATTTCAAAATTTCAATATAGGAATAGCAATACATGTTTCATTCCACTTTCCAATTCACCAAGGGTCCAACATATCCCCATTATTCATCTCTTTATTCAAAACCAAAGATTTCCAACAAAATATCTATTTCTTTCAAAAATCTATTTTAAAAAATATTTTCAAAATTTCATCCATAATCATCAATACAACTATTCCCACAACATTTCCATGAATCCATTTGAAAAACCTCTGTTTTGTATTTCTCAAACCATCCCAAATCAATCCAAATAAAACCTCAAAATGTTCCTTTATTCAAAGGCACATAACAAAGCTAAAAATCAAACTAAGATGTTAAAGGAATGCCTACCTCAAAGAAGAAAGAGAAAGGGATGACAATCCCAATGGAGTTAGATCTTGAACTTTTTCGAATCAAAACGACCACTTAATCTCAAAGTACCAAGGTCACGAGATTCAAGGATTTGGGTGTATGGGATATTTATGTAAGAACTAAAGAGAGAGTCACTACAACAAAAACATACTTTAGTGGCACTACACTAGTAGCATATTTTTAGAAAATGCCACAAAAAATGATATTTAGTGGCACGTTTTTGAAAAATGCTACAAAACGACAAACATAAAGGCTCTAGTGACATTTCAATGAACAAGTGTCACAAAACTACAACAAAAACATACTTTAGTGGCACTACACTAGTGGCATATTTTTAGAAAATGCCACAAAAAGGATATTTAGTGGCACGTTTTTGAAAAATGCCACAAAATGACATACATAAAGGCTCTAGTGACATTTCAATGAACAAGTGTCATAACACTACAACAAAAACATATTTTAGTGACACCATATTAGTGGCATGTTCTTAAAAAATATCACAAAAAATAATATTTGGTGGCATTTTTTTAGAAAAATGTCATAGAGCCACAAACATATAAGGCTCTAGTGGCATTTCAATTAAAAAAAGTGTCACTTCACTACAACAAAAATGTCACTACAAAAATTTTTTATGAATATTTGCAATGGCATTTTTTAAAAAATGTCAGGACACTAGGTAGGTGCAAATTACTTTTTATGGCACTTAGGTGAAAAGTGTCATAAACAAATATTTTATAGCATTTTGAGAAATGCCACTAAGCCAAAAACTTTCCAAGTTTACAATGACATTTTTGAAAAAACAAAAAATGCCAGTATATTTCCTAAATTTTTAAAATGCAGTAAATGATTAAAAATAAATGAATTAAACTCAATATACACTAGAGAAAAAAGTATATTCGGCGACTAAATTTCCTGACCAAAAAAATTTGGTCACTGAAAGTATAGCTTTCAGCGACCAAAACAGCATTAGTTGCCAAAAGTAAAGCTTTTTGGCGACTAAACAATTTTAGTAGCCAAAAGTCTACAATTGGCGACTAAAACTAAGTTTAGTCGCTGATTATATGGATTTTAGTGACTAAAAAATTTTTAGTAGCCCAAAGTAAAGATTTTTGGCGACTAAAAAAATTTAGTAGCCAAAAGTCTACAATTGGCTACTAAAAATAAGTTTGGTCGCTGATTATATGGGTTTTACCGATTAAAAAAATTTTAGTAGCCAAAAGTAAAGATTTTTGGTGCCAAAAAAAATTTTAGTAGCCAAAAGTCCACAATTGGCGACTAAAAAATAAGTTTAGTCGCCAAAAGTGGACATTTTTAGCGCGGGAGAACTAAAATCCTAAGGCGGGAATTAAATTTTTTGGCAACCAAAATTTTGGTAGCTGAAAGTACATCTTCGGCGACCTAATCCGATTTTGGTCGGCAAAAGTTAAGTTTTTTAGCAGCTAAAAAACAATTAGTAGCCAAAAGTATAGAATTGGCGACTAAAACATATTTTTAGTCCAATACCTTCCCCGACAAGCTTTCCGCGACTAGTTTAGTGACCAAAATATTTAGTCAGGCAAAGCATATGGCGACTAAAAATTTAGTCGCCAAATGTGCATTTTGTTGTAGTGAGATTTGATTACATTTTATTGAGTAGTGTTTTTTAGTTTATCTGCAAATTTGATTTGATTAATTTTTATTTTATTTTATTTTTTTCTTTGCAATTACTGGAAGTTTCTTGATCTGTCTAAACAAATTATCGTCATGAATGGCACTTGATAGCGTCACGAATAGTGCCTACCATGACATTAAAGTGTCACTGAAAGGTTTTAGTCTTGATGGTGTAATGACACTTACAAGTGTCACTAACTCTTTTTTTAATGGCGTTTGATAGTGCCACAAATAATAACTACCATGACATTAAAATGTCATTGAAAGTTTTCAGCCGTGCAGTGGTACTTACAAGTATCTACCGTGGCACTTGTATCTACCGTGGCACTTGTTCAAAATGCCACAAGACCAAAAAATGTCATTAGAAGAATAATTTTGTGGCACTTTCAAATGTGACTAAACTAAGAAAATGTTGTAGTGAATTTTTTTTTAATTAATATACTGCTATATTATTGAGGGAAAGACAATGGTGTGCTATATATATTTTATAATTATATAATAAAAAATAATATATATACTTTTTGAATTATAATTAAAAAAATTATAAATAAATATCTCAAAATAATATCATAAATAAAGAAAAAAATAACATAATCAATGATATATATAATATGGAGTATGTATAATAAAATTCTTTTATTATTATTATTATTATTATTATTATTATTATTATTATTATTATTATTATTATTATTATTTATAAATAAAACGATCGCCCGGTTCCGAGCGACCAGCCAAAATTTGTTGACCACGACTATCCTAATATCTTTTAGGTCAAGTTTGGGAAGTCCCAAATAATTCATCTTTTATCTTTTTTTCATTACATTATCTCTCTATTTTTTTTGAATATTTTTTTATAAAAAGATAAAAAATACATTTATTTTGATCATTCCAAATAACCCCTTAATCATTCGACCAAATAATTTCTGTAGCAGTTAATATGCTTTGTCGAAATAACGTCGTTATTTTCAAAAGGTCGGTAATGGGCGAGGAAGATGAGAAAACAACTTTATTGACATGACACATGCAGTAATTTTTGTTCTTCCGAGTTGACGACATCGTCATATCTTCACATCTGCAAATGAATTTGGGATAAAATCTCATATCCATGTGTTACATGCGGCACAACATAGGAGCTGTTTGTTACTGCGTGGTGATTATAATTTATTTTAATTTAAAATTTAGTGTCAAATTATTTAATATAATTTTTGTTTATATTTTATTGAGTAGAAATAATTTAAATAAGTAAAAAGTTAATTATTTAGAACTGAGAAAAGATATTTTTAATTTTTAATCTCTGATTATCAATTTTTAATTTTTTTTTTTAAAAATTCACCAAACATATTCATAGTATAGAAGCAGTGTGCATATAAGTATTTATTTTTAAAAAAAAAAAATTATGGACTATGATTGAATTCAAATTCAAAATCAGAAAGTTCAGAGGAAAGAAAAAAGCTCTGAATTAGAGCATATCCTACCTAATTGCTATAGATATACTTTAGGAAAAACCAAAAAAATATGATATGTAAACATGGCCTTCTCTTTTAGAATTATAATATGAATTTTATATTATTTTTTCTAATAATATACATATAAATCATATGAGTAATTATGTAGAATGTAACATTTGATATTAACGTATTTGATAAATAAAA